ATAAATAAATAAAAATAGACTACTATAATCAAAACAAAACAACCTGAATCTCTTCTACCTATATCCTACCAGGGATTTGAGAGTTTTTCAGAGCTAGAGGAACAGAAGATAATTAAATTGTATGAAATACCATTGTCTTATGCTAATTGACCGGAAAGAGAAGGGGTTCTGAAGGGTGGAGAGTGTGGCTGAGGATTTTAGGGCAGAAGGAAGAGCTGAAAAAGAATTTATTGGAAATGGGTCCATTGAATCAGGAGCCGCCCCTGTGAATTCACTCTGAGGAGAAGGGAACTCAGAATTCTGAAAGGCTACAAGACACTATTTGGGAAACTCCAGTGGGAAAACACCTAGAAACACAATTGTCTCAGAGAATTAACAACTTGGTGGCAGCTGGAAGAGAATTACCCTGGTTTTTCAGAGTTCTAGGCCTTGAGAAAGCAGAAAGGTGTGAAATTTACTCAGAAAGATATAAATCTTAAGAGGTTATAGACTGGGCTGGGGCCTTAGCTCAGTGGCAAAGCACTTGCCTAGCATGTGTGAGGCACCGGGTTTGATCCTCAGCACAACATAAAAATAAATGAATAAAATAAAGATATTGTGTCTATCTACAACTAAAAAACAAGGAACAGTTATAGACTGATGAGGACTTAGAAAAGGTTACATATGCATTAGTCTGTTTCTCTTGGCATTTAAGTTTTAACACTGTGAAAGTCATAGAAAAACTGGGGTAAGTTGGTCACCTTATTTCCATAATTCTTTGGGTATGTGTGTGTCACAAAAATCCCTTTAATTCTGTCATTCTACTATTTCAGCCATCCAACCAGCTTCCTGCTAGTGACATCTCTTCCTCCTCCATGTAGCTTGTACCTTGTAGTTGATCTGCAGTTCTGTTCAATTTCCAGACTCATGCAAGAAACCCAGGTCTGGATTAATCCATTCCCTCCATCTGGGTCTGTGAGTAAGATGGAGTATACATCCAGGGGGTTACTACCTGGTCTCCAACTTCAACACATTGGAGGACAATCTTCTTTCCCTTCACCTCTTTATTACAAATGCATATAACCTTTGCACCTTCATTTTTAGCAGTCAAGTGGACTCTCCCTAGTTCATGAGTAACCAGAAGCAATAATACAGAACACCTGACAACTTGCAGCTACCCACCCTACAAACTCTTTCACATTCATGTGTATGTCTGGTGTCCCTCCTCCTCATCAAAGTCAGTTCCCTCTGTGCTCTTAGTTCCAACTCTCCCTTCTCTTCTGAGATCTTGTGCCATCCATTATTCCCTTTCTAACTTTGCACTCATTTTCTTTTCCTTTTAAAAGATACATCCCCTCCATGATTTGCTGTCATTAAAAGTACCAGACTTTTTCTGTTCCTCCCATTCATCCAAGATTCTTGGGAGAGTTATTTACATCCTCTGCAATTTTTCTCATTGCTTCTTTATTCCTTACCCTTTTTTAAAAAAAAATTTTTTTAGTTGTACACGGACACAATACCTTTATTTTATTTATTTTTATGAGGTGCTGAGGACTGAACCCAGTGCCTCACACATGCTAGGCAAACGTTCTACCACTGAGCTATAACCCTAGCCCACACACATTCCTTACCCTTTGATTGAGCTTCTGCCATCACCACTGAAACTGCTCTTGCTGTGATTAACAGTGATTGGCCAGTTGCCAAAGTAGCCACACTGTGTGATGACCTTCAGTATTTCCTGAGATTCTGTAAATCCCTGCTACACATTTTTCTTATAACTCTACTCTTCCTCTCTTACTTAGAACTCTAATGAGTTCTTTGTTCTTCACCTGGCCCTAAAGCACTCAAGCATTTATATTCTTGTAGTTTTTCCCTAACTCACTGCTTCTCATTCTACAACTTTTCCCTGGGGCGGGAGATAGAATATCAGTTGCTCTCAAGTGTCTCCAACCCCACTTTCTGCCCCCAGTTCCTCTTTCTTATATCTAATTTTTTATCAGTTAACTTAATATCCAAATTATGCAAATCTCTG